TACAGAGTGTTAAGCGATGTCACTTTCTGACACTGATCAGCTTTTCTAAGAGTAGATCCCAAGTTATTATGACAAAGTTCAGGTAGAAACCAGTTGTTTTTTTTATTGCGTTTTGTTCGTTGTATGATGCGATTGACCCAAATCCTATACAGATGGTTTGTACATGTTTTAATCTCTGTAACTGGTTTGTCGGCTAGTCATGTCCTATGAAAAGGGTGTGTTTGTGTGGGGATTTAGACCTCTTTTTGATAAACGCTGATATTTTTTGTTGTGTTGTTTTTAATTTTTTAAGAAAACAAAGTTTATGACTTGGTAAAATTCTTTTTTGATTGCTGGTATAGCTGCTCAGTAGAAGTTTGTACCTTTTATTATCTCATATAACTTCTATTATTATAACTGAAGAATGGGTTTTGTTGTCATGAAAATGTAAATGTTACCTCATTGTTAACCAAAGATTATGAACTTTACATAGTTTTTATGAATTTGTTATGACAGATGTATTTGTATTTCTATCTGTTCTGTGGGTCCCAACTGTACCTATGTTTCCCTTGGTAAAACCTCTAATTACATGGAGTGCGAGTCATTCAGTGCTGAATGCTGGGTAGGAGGTTGAAGGAGGCTGACAGACATTGTACTGTTAGTGCATAGCAGAATTACATAGAAACATAGAATGTGATGGCAGATAAGAACCATTCGGCCCATCTGGTCTGCCCAATTTTCTAAATACTTTCATTAGTCCCTGACCTTATCTTGTAGTTAGGATAGCCTTATGCCTATCCCACGCATGCTTAAACTCCTTTACTGTGTTAACCTCTACCACTTCAGCTGGAAGGCTATTCCATGCATCCACTACCCTCTCAGTAAAGTAATACTTCCTGATATTATTTTTAAACCTTTGTCCCTCTAATTTAAGACTATGTCCTCTTGTTGTGGTAGTTTTTCTTCTTTTAAATATAGTCTCCTCCTTTACTGTGTTGATTCCCTTTATATATTTAAATGTTTCTATCATATCCCCCCTGTCTCGTCTTTCCTCCAAGCTATACATGTTAAGATCCTTTAACCTTTCCTGGTAAGTTTTATCCCGCAATCCATGAACCAGTTTAGTAGCCCTTCTCTGAACCCTCTCTAAGGTATCAATATCCTTCTGAAGATACGGTCTCCAGTACTGTGTACAATACTCCAAGTGAGGTCTCACCAGTGTTCTGTACAATGGCATGAGCACTTCCCTCTTTCTACTGCTGATACCTCTCCCTATACAACCAAGCATTCTGCTAGCATTTCCTGCTGCTCTATTACATTGTCTGCCTACCTTTAAGTCATCAGAAATAATCACCCCTAAATCCCTTTCCTCAGATGTTGAGGTTAGGACTCTATCAAATATTTTGTACTCTGCCCTTGGGTTTTTACGTCCAAGATGCATTATCTTGCACTTATCCACATTGAATGTCAGTTGCCACAATTCTGACCATTTTTCTAGTTTACCTAAATCATTTGCCATTTGGCTTATCCCTCCTGGAACATCAACCCTGTTACATATCTTAGTATCATCAGCAAAAAGACATACCTTACCATCAAGACCTTCTGCAATATCACTAATAAAAATATTAAAGAGAATGGGTCCAAGTACAGATCCCTGAGGTACCCCACTGGTGACAAGTCCAAGCTTCGAATATATTCCATTGACTTCAACCTTCTGTTGCCTGTCACTCAGCCACTGCCTTACCCATTCAACAATATTGGAATCCAAACTTAAAGATTGCAGTTTATTGATAAGCCTTCTATGTGCAACAGTGTCAAAAGCCTTACTGAAATCTAGGTAAGCAATGTCTACTGCACCACGCTGATCTATAATTTTAGATAAGATTAGTTTGGCATGATCTCCCTGAAGTATACCCATGTTGTCTCTGATCTTGAAATGCATGTGTTTTTAGATGTTCAACAATCCTATCCTTTAACATGGTTTCCATCACTTTCCCCACTACTGAAGTAAGGCTTACTGGCCTATAGTTGCCCAACTCCTCCCTATTACCTTTCTTATGAATGGGTACAACATTCGCTAACTTCCAATCTTCTGGGACTACTCCTGTTAATAATGATTGGTTAAATAAATCTTTTAATGGTTTTGCTAGTACACCACTAAGCTCTTTTAATAACTTTGGGTGTATTCCATCAGGTCCCATTGACTTATTTGTCTTTACTTTTGACAGTTGAAATAGAACCTCTTCCTCTGTAAACTCACATGTAACAAATGACTCATTTGTCCTTTTTCCAAACTGGGGCCCCTTTCCTTCATTTTCATCTGTAAATACAGAACAAAAATATTAATTGAGGCAGTCAGCTAGAGCTTTATCCTCTTCTGCATACCTTCCTTCTTTTGTTTTTAATCTAACTAATCCTTGTTTTACTTTTCTTTTCTCATTTATGTATCTAAAAAATGTTTTGTCCCCTTTTTTTTACTGACTGTGCTATTTTCTCTTCTGTGTGTGATTTGGAAGCTGTTATAACTTGCTTAGCCTCTTTCTGCCAATCTTCCTCACTCTGTTTTTTTTAATAATTACTAAATGCTAACGTTTAGTTTTTTGCTATTTTGGCCACATCTGTGGCGTACCACAATGGTTTCTTGAATTTTTTGCTTTTACTGACAAGCCTAATGCAATTTTCTGTTGCCTTCAGCAGTGCAACTTTTAAATAATCCCATTTCTCTTGAACTCCATTTAAATTGCTCCAGTCTGATAATGACTCTTTTACACATATTCTAATTTTAGAAAAGTCTGTTTTTCTAAAGTCTAAATCTTTTGTTTTTGTGTGGTGTGACTCAGTCACTGTTCTTATATTAAACCACACTGACTGATGATCACTGGATCCTAAACTTTCACCTACAGTAACATCTGATACCAAATCTCCATTTGTTAACACTAAATCTAGTATGGCCTCTTTACGAGTTGGCTCCTCAATGACTTGTTTTAGAGACAATCCTAGTAGGGAGTTTAGAATATGTGTGCTCCTGGCACAAGCAGCAATTTTTGTTTTCCAATTCACATCAGGAAGATTAAAGTCACCCATGATGATAACGTCCCCCTTCATTGTCATTTTAGCTATTTCCTCAACTAGTAGATTACCTAACTCTTCTATTTGTCCTGGGGGCCTATAAATCACACCTACACGAGTTACTGTGTGATTTCCAAATTCTAACGTAACCCAAACAGACTCTATGTTCGCCTCACTAACTTTTATTAGGCTAGATTTTATGCTATCCTTCACATACAGGGCCACCCCTCCCCCTTTCTTACATTCCCTGTCTTTTCTATTTAAAGAGTACCCTGGTATTGCTATGTCCCAGTCATTGTTCTCATTATACCATGTCTCGGTAACAGTGAGAGTGCGAGTGATTCAGTGCTGAATGCTGGTAGGAGATTAGAGGAGGCTCACAGACATTGTTCAGTTTGTGCATAGCAGAATTACATTTTGTTTTACCTTTATTTCTGAATATCATATGTTGATAAACATGTATAGAATTATTTATTCATTCATGCATTTTGTTGGTAAACCAGGAGCACAGACATGATAAACATAAGTTTTTCTGCCAGTAATTAAAGGAACTGTCTCCAAGCACAATAACCACTACAGCATGGTTAAAGTGTTTAAATAATTCCTTTAGCTGGAATGTGTATCACAAAGAAGAATCTGAGCAGATTTGGTTGAAAAATATATGAATTTCTATTGAAAATCAGGATGATAAACAGAAGATTAATTGAAACAGTCATTGACTATCCAGAAATGCAATTCTGAGACTTGTGTAATATGTGTTATTCTGCATTGCACTTTAATGTCATATATATATTTATTTGTTCAACTCAATTGTATTCCAGAGCCCAGAGCACAATATGTAAGGAGTGACAGATAATATGGCCTTAAATTTGACATATGAGGCACTATACAAAAGGGATCAGGAATCTTAAAGTCTAGTGTTTGCAGCAATAAACTCAATATGTTTATAGCTTGCTGGTTTTAGAATATTCACATATTGAGCCATAGCAACTAGTTATCTGATCCTTAAAAGAGAAGGAGATAACCAAAATCCAGAAAATGATAACAGGTGAGAATGATAAAAGGAGATAATAAAGGTCCCGAAAATGATAACAGGTGAGAATGATAAAAGGAGATAATAAAGGTCCCGAAAATGATAACAGGTGAGAATTTGATGTCAGTCGTTGGAGAAGTATTTGGCTCTGGAAAACCTTCTGAGCAGTTGTGGTATCAGAGAGATGAAGCAGCTTTCTCAAAGGACAGATCACGCTCTGTGAAGGTAATTGAGAAAATGGATAAATTATTGGACAGGGAGGCTCACTGAAAGCAAAGGAAAGTGATATCTGGCACGCTGAACATTGATCAAATAAAATGGAGATTGCTTGAGGAGAAATTTGGAAAAAACAAACAAACAAAAATAAAAATACTGAAAACAATGTGAGTTACATTTGACTCTTAAGAAATCAATGACATTCTTGTCCCTGTAGCCCTTATGACTCTGTGGGATGACATTCCTCTTATTCAGGATCTGTAAAAGCTCATTAAATAAGCATGGCATTCAAGTTTGCTGTAGGATACAATAAAGACTAAATTCTTGAGACAGCTTAGACCATCACTGGTCCATCAGGTTCTAAGTCTGGACTGATCTCAATGTCCTGGCAAAGTCATCTCAGCCTTCATCCTTACAAGGTCAACCCATCGGCTGCCATTAAGCTGGACCTCAGGACAAATTAAGAAGGACATTACAAATATAATATACCGTTAAAGCTGATCTATACAAGTATTAATATACAAATCTGAACACACATGTGATTAAATCCAATAAGATACGTATCTAACAGATTATTTTAATCTTTTTGTTCCAGGTTTCTGTCTGATAACAGTATCTGGCCAAGAAACTGCAAGAGCACAGCCAGGTAATAAAGCCATCCCGGGACGTCTGTGGAGCGTCCTCTATATTTAATTGTATTGTTTGTTTTCACAACAAATAACAGAAATGCAATAAATAAATGTATCACACAGTTACTTACCTTAGCTTGTGGCCATTTCTGAGATTTTGTAACAAGGTATCCACTAAACTATAAACTGGTGGCACGTGACCACTTAAATAGCTGACTTGGGAGTTATTCCAGTATGGTGGTTTTGGTGTGAGACACTGCCAGCAAATAGCGGACAGTTGACCGTTAAGCTCTTTTTAAGATAAAATCTTCAATCGATTTATTTTACCCTCAACTTTGCAATTATTTCCAACCACATTATAACAAATACAATAAAATATATTATTTGGCAATAATTCTATTTTCTTTATTATTTTATTCCAATGCAGATGCCTTTTGTGAGCCCAATAAGATGTTTTACCCATGCAAGCCGTGCCCCAAGAGCTGTGATAAAGTGGAAATCCCCTGCTTGAAGCTATGCCAGCCTGAATGTTATTGCAAACCTGGCTACGTCCTGACATCATCAACTTCCAACACGTGTGTCCCTGAGACGCAGTGCACCTCCTGCGGCCTTAACGGGAAGTTCGATGATTGCAATGCCCACTGCCAAGCCACCTGTGAAAATTACTTGCAAGCAAACCGGGCCTGTCCCATGATGTGTGTCCCGGGCTGTGTGTGTGAACAGGGGTACGTCAAATACAATAATGAGTGCATCCGCCCCGAATCATGCCCAAAGAGGGGCCGCTTCTTTAATCCATTACTGATTCAACTACTGGCTGGAAGATACAACGTCACACAGTGAAACATACTAACTTTATGTATTTTATTAAGAATATTATATTAAATGTGCCTGTTTTATAATTTTTTGCTTTCAATAAATTATATTTAAACATTTGTCTGTTTTTGAGCCTTTAAATGTTAAAGTGTGAATATTCCAACTCTAGCAAGTTATAAACATATTGAGTCTCCCGATGAGCTAGTGTGACACTGTGGAATGGGTCTGGCCTAACACACAAGAAGTCAAAATGAAGGCACGTTGTAGCGGAGAGCTGATTTCCCACTGTCAGAGGTGGCGGTCCGGTGCCCGGGACCCAGATACTGTCACGGGTGGCGGTGCGTGGACCGGGACCCATATATGCCTGATGTTCAAAGTAGGAGTCACAGTGTGGAGGTGGATTAGCAGGGTCTGGTGCAGGGTAACCGCACGCCCCCTGGTGTTGAGCACCAGCGTTTGTGCAGCCACATACCAGAACCCTGATTCAGCTTATGCGGATCCCAGGAACTAGAAGCAGGTAATTAAGCAGACCTCCCAGGAGCTGAATAGGCTCTGCAGCAGGGATGTATCCAGTACAGAAACAAGGCAAGACTAGAGATAGTCACCATGCACGAAAACAAGACAAAACTAGGAAAACAGGGCAAGACTAGAAATAGGCACCATACATGAAAACAAGACAAAACTAGGAAAACCCAGAACCAGAGCAGGACAGAAAGCATAACCTAGAACATGTACACAAGACATGAGGAAAACAAGAACATAACATGGGCATGACTTGGACAGGACTGTACATGGACTGGGATTACAAGACAAGAGATACAAGGTAAAACAAGAGGAAACATAGCTAAGCACTAATTATGAAAAATATGGGGATTTAGTCACATTATATGATCATACATTGCACAAGCCTGCCAACAATGCCAATTTACCCCATATCTGGCAGGTCCTACACTGGCTAATGTATGCTAAAACAGCCACACTAAACCACAATAGCACTTACCTGCAAGAAAGGGCAGAGACTTGAAACACTGCTGCAGGTCCAAGCTGAAACAAAATGAAAGAGGAAAACAAGCGGGTGTGGCAACATAAAACAAACATTTAAAGGAAACCTGGAGACTGGGAATTCCAGGGATGCAATATAAGAATGAACCCAGAAACCCAGCAACAAAGAAAACCAGACATAGACCAGAAAACCAGAAAAACCAAGCAAGGACAGCAAAAAGAGTACTGGATACCAGAAGCCAATGCAGGAAAGATCCGCAGCGAGGAACAGAACGTGACACCCACAGCTTAACTCCACTGGTGCATTAGAATAATTCAGGAACAAGTAGTAAATCCAATAGGGTAATAAACACAATCAGCAAGGCAATACAATAATATCCCATCACCTTTCCCAACTGGACGACACACAGTATCAGGAGTAGAACTGAGGTTTAATGACACAATCCCTGCTTTTATGTGATTCTCCCATGCAAGGGAGGCACCCACCATAATTATTATAGTAACCAATCACATAGACGTTACCTCCTACATATCTCCTCCCCTTAGCTTAACAGTTAACATAATTATAAGATGCATACCTTTAAATGTGGTACCCCCTGGTAGCCCTGATCTGGGTGAGAAACATATTCAAAAATCACCCAGATCAGACCAGGGGTTCAGGAGTTATGGGGAAGCAAAGATTTGACCGACCGCACGGGCAAAATAGCCAAAAATAGTTCCATAAGTTTTGGCCCTGCGGTCGGTCTCTGTTCATGCCTGAAAAGTCCTGAAAGTATCTGCCATCCAGGGTTGAGTCAGCATTCGGATGAATCCCCTGGTTCGTGGTTCCGGGGCATGGGATAGGCGTCAGACACGGTTTTCTCATTCAGTCTCTGGTAGTCCATGCAGAAACGGGTGGTACCATCCCGTTTAGGTACGAGGACTACTGGAGAAGCCCAGGAGCTGTCTAAAGGCTCAATGACCCCCACTTGGAGCATCTCATTGATCTCCTGGCGCATATGCTCCCGTACAGCCTCTGGGATGCGGTATGGGGTTTGGCGCATAGGTAACTGGCCTGGGGTCTCTACGCGGTGAGTCGCCAGGGGAGTGTAGCCTGGCACCTTAGAGAAGGTGTCCTGTTTTTCCCTTAACAACTGTTGTATCTCCCTACGCTCCTGTGGACTCAGCCACTCCCCCAGCTTAACCTCAGCTATGTTGTAACGGATCGCCTGGCACCCCGACTGGGTACCTCCGTTAAAGGATGCTCCTAGCGCTTCCTGAGGACTCCAAGCACTGCAGCAGACACCACAACCACTGAACCGGAGAAGCATATGAATCCTCTCAAGCATATGAATGCTGTAGACAGTTGAATAGGAACCATACGAATAGGTTTACTCTCCTAGCAGTCAAACTGGAACAGCATACAATAAATCCTTCCCCCAATAATGAGGCGACACTTCACTTTGAGGGTTAAAACAGGAACTCTCTGTACTGTCACATACAGTCTCTTTTATTCCCAATCCACAAACATAGTACAGCCCACAGGGCGTTGCAAAACAACCAATCAATCCATACAATACACCCAGACACTCCCACACAAAATCCTCCCCTCTGCAGGTGATATGATTACTGAACACAATGGGTAATCTCATTATCACCGGCAGAGGAATACAGTTTTTACACAATATTTCTAACTTCTAAAATATACATAAAGTCACTGTAACGGACCGTTTTGCACAAAAGGGGAAAAAACCGCTTAGACGATAATCCCCCTTTCAGAGACAGGCACAGCTACTGTAGAATCACCAAAACTCATGAACTGAATACAAGTGAATGCTCCAAACTCCCGAACGGCATACAAGGGAATGCTCCAAACACTCGAACTGCATACAAGGGAATGGTCCAAACACTCGAACTGCATACAAGTGAATGCTCCAAACTCTCGAACTGCATACAAGTGAATGCTCCAAACTCCCGAACTGCATACAAGTGAATGCTCCAAACTCCCGAACGGCATACAAGGGAATAAGGTAGCACTCCAAATACACGAACAGGAACCATACGAATTGCTGCTACCAGACGAACAGGAAAAGCTCCCAAGCGGCTTACACCCCTGGCAATCAGTCCTTAGCAGCATACAGTAAATCCCCCCAAAGACGAGACAGAGCTCCGTGTTGAGGGTCAAGCAGTGGTCTGTTTAATGAGGGCTACCTGCCCAGCTTTTATGCAGGTCTCCCACCTGGTGGACACTCCCCTAGGGGACCAAATGGGAGACTGTGACAAGGGACAGACAAGTATACAAATAGGACACACAGTCACAGTATATTCCCACAATGCATCCTGGCTTCCTCCTCTCTGCCCTGGGAGATAATTGGGAAGTAACTCAATTATCTCCCAAGACAAAGGCAAAACTCCATTACACACGTGGGAACACAAAACAGCATTATACTTTAAAATGCACAAAGTAACATTTACTACATAAACCACAGACATGTAACATATCCCCAGATAGCTCAGGTCTGAGTGCACATTATTAGGTGAATGGCACTCAGACCACACAAATACAGTTTTAATTGCCATGGAGCCAAAGTCTTTAATTCCACGAATAGGCTCCATGGCATAGCTATCTGGGTTAAAACATTCCTCCAACATAAAATACCGAATTTACATGCATTCGTTCAATCCGTGCAAATTAGAACCAGGGGTTGGAGGTTCAGCGGTGCCTGTACGTAAAAGTGTCCGGGTTTGGTGCATAAAAGCCGGGCAGACAAGCGCTGGCTGCCCGGGGAGCTCCAGAACACCGCCATCGTGTGGCGGCTAAGTGTAACCGCGACCACCCAGTAACAATCAATTAAGCTGCGGTTAACCGCAGCTACTGGGTGGTCAATTGTCGGCACACGCTCGTTAAGCCGCGGTTAACCGCGGCTTCAGGGAGGTAAATGGAGGGCGCACTCCAGCTTCTGGGTGGCCAATTAAGGTCGCCGGCCGGCTTCCCACGGCTCTGGGGAGGCTGAAAAGAGACTGTTTGTTTGGTAGATGGAATCTACCGAACGGCTGTGCAGAAAGGGAGAAATAAATCCTTCTGCGCAGTAAAATTAACCCTTTAGCTGCCGGTCCATAATCCAAAGGCAGCAGGCGGGCAACCAGGCTCCTCCAATGCAATGTGGCGAGATTGGTTTCGTCACATCTCTCCCCTTTTCCAAACAGACTAACAGGGTATCTGACCTCCTGCCGGTCAGTGCCCTTGTTAGTCCAGCAGCCCACCCACAAAACATAATCAACAGCACAGCCCACCCACAATAAATGGGTAGAGAAGAAGCTTGTCCATGTCCAGGTGCCTCACCACGGCTGTGCTGGGTACGGGTACGCTGCCTTGGTGGGTTGCTGCGTGGGCAGAGACCAGCGGCACTCTGCCCTGTTGCCAGCGCTACTGGGAGGGTAGCCTGGTGGAAGCCTGGTTGTTGGAGGGGGAGACCGACTGTCTCCCCTTTAAATACACCGCTCTGCTGCTGCTGCTGGAGACTGACTGTCTCCCCTTTAGATGCACAGTCCTGCTGCTGGAGACCGACCGTCTCCCCTTTAGCTGCACAGTCCTGCTGCTGGAGACCGACCGTCTCCCCTTTGGTTACCCATCTCTGCTGCTGGAGGGGGAGACCGACTGTCTCCCCTTTGGCTAAACAGCCCTGTCGCTGGGGGGCAGGACCGACCGTCCCTACCCCCTGTGCTGGCAGTGTAGAGACTACGGTCCCATCTGCACGGTTGTGGGGCTTACTGTCTCCCCTTTGTACATTAAGCTGCCGCTGGGGAGAAGGGGTAACAAGCTCCTCTCCCATACATACTTCCAGCTGTGGGGGAGGGAGACCGACTGTCTCTGCTCCCAATACAGAGTCCTGCTGCTGGGGAAAGGAGACTGGGCTCTCTATTCCCGGTAGGACACTCTGCCGCTGGGGAATGGAGACGGGGCTCCCAATTCCCAATGATCTGTGCTGCCGCTGGGGGATGGAGACTGGGCTCCCAATTCCCAAAGCATCATACTGCCGCTGGGG